CGCGTGGGAGCGTGCCGGAAGCACGTGCCAGTGACACCGAAACCCCAACGCCGTTTGGAGGCGACACGTGTGAGTCGCCGTCTCCCAAATAAACCGTCTTTATTTTCACTTCAATTCCTTCTCCCTCATCAATGGCGTCTTCTCCCTCCTACAACACTAGCAATCTCTGTACTGATAAGCGCATAGTCTCTCTCTGTCTCTCTTTCTTAGCTGGTGTCTAGGGTTTTTGATCCGAGAAACTTTAAAAAAGCAGGCCAGAGAACGAAGAAGCGATTACTTTCCTCAAACCGATGGTGCAGTTGATGAACGGCGACGGATCGGACTCGCCGGCCGAAACAATGGCGGTGGTGAAGATGGAGGTGGAGGACAGTCTGGAAGAGGACGACGGTCCACTTCACAAGCGTCCTAAAGTAATTTTCTTTCGTACTGTTTGTTCTTTGTCATTTCTTAAGTTGTTTTTGGTAGATCTTTATACTGCGAATAATGTAGTTATTTATCGGCGAAATTGATGATTTGGAGTTGTTTTCTGTCTTCTATTTAATTCTTCTTACTTTATTGTACTTATTAGTTTCTTTTTTTTACCCTTCAAATGTGATGTGATTTTTGTTCCTCTTTCTTGGAGTTTGAGAATTGTGATCGTATGGATGACGTATGGATAACTGGTTTTCTTGTTAATTTTCGAATATATCGGCTTCTATTATGAGTTTTGTGTAATTTGTTTTGCAAGAAGCGTTAAGTCATATATTACCTTCACCTTGTTGGTTATGGATCAGTAGAAGATTTATGAAATGGGTTGTTGCAGATATTATAATGTCATCTAGTTTTGTTTTGCAGCAGCATAGTTTGATGACGGGTGGTTCAATAGTGCCCCCCACGCAGTACAACCCTCTTGATGAGCCGAGCCCGTTGGGCTTACGTCTCAGGAAAAGCCCGTCGCTTTTGGAGTTGATTCAGATGAAACTCTCCCAATCAACCTCACCGAGAGTTGGGAATCAGGGTAGGAAAGAGACTTCAAAAGCGTCTGCTGATAAGCTGAAGGCCTCTAATTTTCCGGGCTCACTTCTTAGAATCGGAGCATGGGAGGTACGGAATTGTTTGGGTGTGTTGTAATAGGACTTCAAATAATTTGTTGTCAAATCTTTTTGTTCAATATTCTGATAAAAACTTTTTTTTTTTTTTTGATTTTGCAGTATAAATCGAGACACGAAGGGGACTTGGTGGCAAAATGTTATTTTGCCAAGCATAAGCTTGTGTGGGAAGTTCTTGATGGGGGTCTCAAGAATAAAATCGAAGTTCAGTGGTCGGATATTATGGCGTTGAAGGCGAATTACGAGGATGGTGTTCCTGGGACTTTGAAAGTTGTGGTAATAATGGACATTCTGTTAATATTAGCGTTAACCAAGCAGTGTTTATCACAACTCCCATTTCTGTTCTTTGGCAGTTGGCTCAGCAACCACTTTTCTTTAGGGAGACTAATCCTCAACCAAGGAAACACACACTTTGGCAGGCAACATCAGATTTTACTGGTGGACAAGCTAGTATCCATAGGTGAGATAAGAGTCCCTTTTTAGCAGGTCAACTGGATTTAAATTATGTTTTGTCAGCAAAAGCTTCTTGCTCTCCCTCTCTTTCTCCACACACACACACTTTTCAAGTTTTCGATTCCATATAATCTTGCATGTTTAATTCTAACATGGAGATGAAGTAATCATTTTTCCCGTGATGCAGAAAGCATTAATCTGTTACGGAAGTGTGCTCGTTTCTGGTTGTCGATCATGATATCCTTCTTGTGATGGGGAAATCTTTATAGTTCATGCCATCTTTTGTGCTTCAATATGATTAGTGATGCTAATAGAGATGGTTTTATAGAGTTTGGATTATTTCCAGTAATTGAACCTCATGAGTCGGAAAAAGCATATCCAAACATGCATGATTACCTTAAACCTCAAGTTTGGTTTTATACATTAGATAGCTGATGAGTAACTTTAACATGAAATTCAACACTTTAGCAGTCTGTTTATTATGTTCCAATGTTTGATTTTGTTCTTTAAGAGATTTACTAGACTGGTGATCCCATAAAGACTTCAGGTGTTTTTGTTTTTACTAATGCAGGCAACACTATCTGGAGTGCCCACAAGGCCTACTGGGAAAGCATTTTGAAAAACTTACACAATGTGATCCCCGCTTAAACTTTCTCAGTCAGCAAGGAGAGATTATACTAGATTCTCCATATTTTGAACCCACAATATCTGTGTTTGATGACCAGAACGAAAACAGGGACTCTTTCGATTTGAATGCGGACGGAAGTTCTTCATTTTTCAGCTTACAAGATGTGACTTCACCTTTGGGGGCTCAATCTTCTTCCTCAAAAAATGATACTGATGCAACTGGCGGGCTCTCAGGATCATCCTACCCTCGTGAAACACCGTCTCCAGTCTCAGGTAACTCATCATGGGAAATCAAAATTTAACGAAGTTCATGGCGTGTTTTTTACGAAGTATGCTGAAGCTAAGTTTGTTGATGCTTTAGAACTTGGAAGTTAATAATATTCTGTCTTTGAGCATTGAAGATAGTGTACTCTGTTAACCTTTTAAGTTTCATTCGGTCACCAACATATTTTTAATAACCTGAAGTCTAGATTTCGCAGGGACTGTATTTATTTTCCTTAATCCATCATATATATACACATGTAAGTATGCATGTATAATACATTTATATGTACATTATGTACAGACACAAAGACGAGGGTGTATTGATCATCGATACCCCATGCCTCTTGAGATAAACAAATGTTGCGGTGTAAGATTACCGAAAAGTTGTCTATGAATCTTAAATCATAAATGACATATAA